TCTTGTAATTCAGAACTAGTCCCATGCAAGTTCGCTAGGATTTTTATGGTCAAATTATTTTCTCCAAACCCAATACCGTGCAAGAAATTCAACTTCTGAAGTGTGTGAATAGAGGTTCTTGAAGATTGAATTATGTCCAAACTCCCTTTGTAGTCCTTGTCCAGGTCTTCATTGCCAACGACGCAAGTACATAGTAGATGATGCTTCCCACTTCTCATCTTATTGAAGAACCATTCTTGTAGATCCAATGCTCTCATCACATGAGGCAAATTAACCATTTTGTGTCTTCCCAAAACATAAGGATACTTTTCACTGATGGACTTTAATTCTTTTGTATTCATTCCAAAGTGTTTCAGCAGCCCCAACACTGAAATCATTTGATCCTCCAAATCAAAATCCAAAATCTCAGGTCTCTCAAGAATCAAAAGACCAACATCACTCTTGTTAACACTCAATCTACAAAAGAACTCCACTTTATTGACCAAAACCTCTTCCGGGTACTCGAGAAAAATGCTTTTTCTCTTACCCATCAACTCCCCCATCTTCCCTTTCTCGCAACCCAAATCATAAAACACCTTTATTTTCCTACAAACCTCAATCCAAGCATCCACATTTCCCCCAACGCAATTCAACAAATCAAAATCAACAAACAACTTCCCCAAATCATCAAACAATGCACTAATTTCATTACCCAATTCAGTCTCCCCATTCAACACATAAGGAAAAACCAAACAAATCCCAATAACAGTCACACTACCAAACCCATAATCCTTAAACCCATGAAGCTTCCTACTTAATTCACTAGGGTTTTTGCTGAAAATCGAAATCTCCTCTCTATACAACTCTCCCAACCTATTCCAAGGAAACCCAAATCCCGAAAATGCGAAAGCCGCATTCAAGACCCGCGAATCCTCGGATAAGAAAAACTTGTTGGGGGGCAAAAACCCATTAATTTCATGATAATTAATGCCAATACTCTCATAGAAAAATTCAAATTCGTTGATAGGGTGGTACCTGAGGAACCTCTGGAAGGATTTGAAGAAAGTTGAGGGAGAGAAGTGGACTTTGGAAGCGACATCGGAGAGAGAGAAGAGGGCGTTCTTGCTGATGTGTTCGGCGTAGATGAAGGGGAGAGATCTTGTGGTGTGGAGGTAGTCAGTGAGGGCTTTCTGGGCTAGGTGGATTGCTTTGGGTCTGTATCTGGAGGGTATTTTCGAGAGCTTTGGGAGCTTTGTGGTGGAGGAGAAGTGGCGGGAGAGGGTGGAGTAGAGAGAGAATGTGGTGGGAGGATGGAAGCGCATTGCAGAGAGAGACAGGGAGAGAGAGTTGGTGTTAGGGTTTTACCAGTAAATTTGTGTATGAGATTTTTTTTTTTTCTTCTTCACTTTAATATTCTAACCTTAATTTTGAATTTTTAATGTTTCTTTTTTTTTGGTGGGACATCCAAAGATCTAATTCTTCCCGCTTTTACCCCTTTTACTGACAACCTGTCGGGATGCCCACCATCGCGAGATCCTCCTTTGTTGCTGAGGAAGTTGCAAGTACAGGCCAGTGGTTGTGTATGGCAATTAGGGGTGTGCATATTATCGTTAAAATCGTTAAAATTGTATTGAGTTGCATCGTTAAGGTAAATTCGTTATTATTTGTCAATTGAACTGTTTATTTTTTGTAAGAAAAAATGATAAATTTTAGTAACACTTTTATCAATTCGTCGTTTTCTATTTTTCTTCCAAACCGCACCGACCCGCACCGCTATTAAATCATGTTTTATAAGATTCTAAAATTTTTTTTTTTACTTAAATTTACTTGTTGTTCTATACCTTAGAATATAGTATTACATTACTGCTCGAAGGAAATTCAATGTCAGTAATCCAAAATAAAGTTGGATTCTAATTTACTTTTCAATCTTTTTTTTTTTTTGGCATTATATTGCAAACTTGCATCAGCTCACTTTTCAATCTAAATACTTTTCAACAGTAAACATTTTCAATATATTGTAAATCCTGAATGATATTAATTTTATGTATTGTATTTGATCATTGTAACTTCCACAGATGCTTGTAATGAACTGATGGCATAGTCGTTGATATTATCATGTTGTTGCTACACTTGCTGCATCAGAAGAAAGGTTCACAAGATGCTTAAGATCACGGCATCTCTCGTCTTTTTTTTACTCTTTGATTTAAGTTTTGTAATTTGAATTATATTTTTTATAAACCGTTAATCCGCCCGAACCGCCAAGGCAAATCCGCCATTATTTGCCAATCGAATCGCCGATTTTTGATAAAAAAAAAATGGCAAATTTTAATGACACTTTTATCAATCCGCCACCCGCCATACGGTTTCTATTTTTCTCTCAAACCGCACCGAACCGCACCGCGCACACCCCTAATGGCAACGATTGTGCTATCTTTCTCTCGATCCTGATCTGTTTTCTCTGCTCCTTTCTCCAATCACGAAAAATCCCTTAAGCCAGCTCTAATTCGATTCTCTTTATCTATCAAATTTCTCAATCTGAATATATATATATATATATATGTGTGTGTGGGGGGGGGTGTGTTTTTGCATTGATAAATACACAAGTAAGGTTAAGTTTGGCATCTTCTTAAAAAGATAAAAAGTAAAAAATTATTTAAAAAGTTAAAAAGTTATTACTATTTATCAAAAAAATATTAAAAAATTAATTTTCCATACATCCATACAACTCAGCAATCATGTATGGCTGGCGCTGTGCAGCCTTTGTTAAGAAAAATTGCACTGTTTGAGTGAAATTTTTACACACTTCTGTTCTTTCTGTGGGGGCCTATCACGGGTCCCGCTTTGATAATCTGAACCATTCAATGTGTAGAACTCGTCGAGTACTATATGTCTGTAAAAAATCACATTAATCGGATATCAATAATTACATGATCAAATCAGTTTTGTATAAAAAATAAATGGTGTTATAATTAACGATTGAAAAAAAACAAATCATATCAGATAGCTATCGGTATCCGATCAACGTGATTTTTTATACATTGAACGGTTCAGGGACCCGTGATGACTCCCACGGGCCGAACAAAACCATCTAGTGCAATGCTCGAAAAATAGCCAATAATTTCTTATTATCAATTCGGCTATTCAGATTGTACAGCTATGGCCCACACATCTCTAATCTTTTCCTACACACTTCTTTATACAATTTTTTAATACACATTTTTTCATAAAAAGTCAAAAAGTTAACCCAAACATTCAGATTTTTTTCCTCAACTTTTTACTCTAAAAAGATAAAAAGTGCACTTATTTAGGACATCTATTTCTTTATCAATTTAATATATTATTTAATGGGAAGTATAAGCCAATGCTTGAAGTTGGTTGCTATGGAGATTTCATACCTATAGTGTTCTGGGTTTCATTTATACTGTTAACAACTATAAATTGATCCTTTTTTAATTGGATTTTGAATCTCAATTTTGCCAGAAGAAGAAAGAGGAAGGGTGATGACAACTGGGATAAGAAGAAGAACAAAAAGATGATGATAAAGAAGGAGTTAGGCTGTTGGCCAAAGCAACCTCGTTGGTTAGGTTTAGGATTTTGGCCATTTAGGTCATTTAGTTAGGAGACAAAATTGTATTAAAAACAACTAGAAAAATGGGATGTTTAACTTAATTTTTAGGGTGTATTTAGGTGATTCTACTTACACCACTATTTAATCTCTTTACACCCTCTATCTCATTACATCACTAAAAAAAAATGTAATTCTCATTACACTTCCAATATATTACCAAAACTAATCCTAAATTAACTATTTTATCTCTTTACACCACTAATTTTCATAAAACGGTGCTAAACAATTTACATTATTTTGGTATTATGCTGTTGGAAAAAATAGATATCTCCAACATTTTGTTGCTATACATTTACAGAGAGATTTATAAAACGGTGCTAAACAATTTACATTATTCCGCTATTCTGGTATTCTTCCAAATAATGATTTTTTTAATTTGTGGTGGCCTTGTTCGGTAATACAACGCTAATTAATTTGAATTACTCTAGTGCTATGTTATCAGACAATATTTTTTTTCAGCATTATATTGCCATCTAATTAGATGATAACAATAAATTAATTTGGGTCACTTGTGAAGTGCATGTTCAGTGATATATTGTTATACAAATAAAATTACTCTAGTATCATATTGCCAAACTAGAATAGAGTTGTCTAGGCCCCTATCGTTGTACATTGAAGAAAAAAAATTTCCTTAAAGCATCCATAAAAAAATTCATAAATCAAACACGCATCCATAAAATCTGTCATCGTTTGCATTTATCAATAAAACATATTATCACAATTCGTCTTGGTAATTTATAGTTAATTTTTTCCCTCTTAATAGATATAGATATCTATACTTTTTAGAACCTGTCAACCTCAATCGTTCTCCCTTGATCTTCCTGTTGTTTCTATAGTAACCACTTCTTTTACAAGCAAGTACAAGTCTTGATTTTCTGTCATTGCCTCCCACATCTAATGTGTTTATAACAATGACAAATCAAGTCTTCTTTCCAACATCAGAAGCCCATTTAATTAATGCTTCACAACTATGAAAAATTTAAAGATAATAAATACATTTATACATCAAATTATTAATAAAACTCAATGCAAATTAAAAATAAGAAAAAAATCGTATTCATAAAAAAAAACTTAACAAACCTCGTCTATAATGAATTCATGACTAGAGTCTACTAATATTGTAATACTTGCGTTGTTGCAATGAGTATAAGTATAATTCTTCTAGGCAAAAATATAAAAAAATGAAACTGAAAATACATGATAATGAGAAGCCGAACAAATTAAAAAAATTCAGTTTGGGTTACCGAAAATGTATATTTTATTCAGTAGTTAGTTACCGGACTTATATTTTTTGTTTGGCAATGTGATGCCAGATTATTTTACTTTGTTCGATTTCAAACTACTGAACGAAAGTCGAACACCAGTCCAGAAAAACAAAACAAAAACCTACTAAATAAATTTTAAAAAAAAAAACTCACTATTTCATTTTTTGATGGTTCACCACTGTTTCTTCATCCAATACTTTTTTTTAATGATCAAATTACTATGATTCTTACTTTTTGAAAAGAGATGTGTAAGAGAAAAGAAAAATTAAGAAAGGAAAAAGAGGAGTAGGGATTAAAGACCAAGGAATGTAAGGAGATAACAAAATATATTTAATTTTTGTGTTTTGTCCTTAAAGGTAATTTCACACGTGGATAAAAAAAAATTTGGGGGGGAGGAAAAAAAACTCATATGAAAATTGTAAAGAGGTAAAGTAATGGTGTAAGTAAAATCACCCGATGCATTTAGAGCTACCCATATACCTTGTGGGAATTATATAGAAATTGACAAAACTATCCTTTGTTGTTTTTAAAACAAAGATGGAGGGACGATGTAAAATGTAAGGTTAAAATTTATAAATTAAAAGTTCATGGCATGTTTTATTGGGTAAAGTTTATAGAAAATATTAAGTATGTTTATATTTATTTTTTATCAAAACGAAAACAAAACATGTTTGGTAACATGTTTTTAGAAATTTAAGCATTATCAAATAAGCTCTTATTATTATAATTGTTTGTTTTTATTTACAAATAAAAACTTGTTTGAAGTGAATTTGTGTATGAAGATTGGAATGAATTTTTTTTTTTTTTATGTCAACTTTAATTTTGAATTTTTAACGTTTTTTTGTTGGACAACCCAAAAATTAATCTCACTTTTACCCCTTTCCCTGGCACACCGCTAAGATGGCCACCATCGCCGGATCCTACTCCTCGGTTGCCGAGGAGGTTGCAAATACATGCCGGTGGTTGCCCACGACAACGGTCGTACTATTCTTGAGATGTCTCTCTCGACCCTGATCGGCTTCCTCCGCTCTTTTCTTTAATCATGAAAAGTCTCATAAGCCAATCCTAATTTGATTATCTTTTTTTATCTGATTCCTCAATCTAAATCTATACATATATATATATATACATCGATAAATACGTAAATATGTATTGTTTCTTTATCAATTTAATATTTTATTTAATAGGAAGTATAAGCCAATGTTTGAAGTTGGTTGCTATGGAGATTTCATACATACGTGTTGTGGGTTTCATATATATCGTTAAGAATTATAAATTGAACATTTTTTAATTAGATTTGGAATCTCAGTTTTGCAAGAAGAAGAAAGAGGAAGGTGACGGTGACGGTGACGGCGACGGCGACGGCGACGGCGATGGCGATGGCGATGGCGATGGCGATGCTGAAAACGGTGACAACTACGGTTAGAAAAAGAATAAAAAGATAATGATAAAGGAGGAGGAGTTGGGCTGTTGGCCAAAGCAG